GGCCGCCTCCGCTGCCCGCCCGGCTTGGCGCTCTCGCCTCGGCCTACAGTCTCTCGGGCGTTCCCCGACGCGGGTGGCACCCCAACTTTTTAAAACGAGTCCCGAAACTGCGAGGGTGGGGAGGGAGGGGAGGCGACCGCAGTGGCTTTTGTCCCTCATCCTTGTTTACTGGGAGAAACTTCAGACCGGACGTGTGCAGTGAGCAAGCCCGCGCCGGCGCCCGGGCGATCGGAGGCCCGGCCGCTCCCCGGCCCGCGCCCGCCTCCCTCCCTGCCAACTTCGCTGCCACGAGGGGACTTTTTTTTTTTAAGTAACCGGGAAAACTTTTCGCTGCACGGTGGCTGCTTTTTTGTCTTTTTTTTTTTTTTAATCGTTCGGAAGACGATCCGTTTAGGCGCCTCTCTCTAGTTATTACAAATCCACAAATTGGCAACCCGAGTGCTTTGGATCTCTGACTTCGTTGGTTAGGATGTCTTTGGAGGATGAGATTGTTTAAATGACCGGTGAGACACTGAGAACAGGCCTGAGCCTCGTAGATGGGGAATGTGTGGGAGTGCTGCCTGCACTTCTGGAGATTACACTTTTTGTTGTTGTGGTCTTGGGGGGGGGGAAGGGTTGGGTTTTTTGTGTTGGTTTTTCTTTTGTTTGTTTTGTTTTTGGCACAGCCACTTCTAGGAATTTGACTTATCATTGCCATGTCTGGCTTTTATGGGAGGTTAGTTGTCACTGCTTGTATTAAATGACCAGTACCCTGGTTTTCATTCACTCCCTAATCATTTGAAGCTCTTGTGGTACTTGAGTTGCTAACATCAAATGCTTATTTTACTTAGAAAAACTAAACATGGGCAAAGGAGATCCTAAGAAGCCGAGAGGCAAAATGTCATCATATGCATTCTTTGTGCAAACTTGCCGGGAGGAGCACAAGAAGAAGCACCCGGATGCTTCCGTCAACTTCTCAGAGTTTTCTAAGAAGTGTTCAGAGAGGTGGAAGGTAAGAGGGCTTAAGGCATACTAACAAGGTATTAAGCAGTTAATAATTATTTCTGAATTAGGATTGGAAAGGCCTAACTGGCCAATAACACAAGACTATATAGCAAACGACACTTTTTAAGTCATTTTAATATTTCTGCCTACTTATAATATAGACTATGTCTGCTAAAGAGAAAGGGAAATTTGAAGATATGGCCAAGGCAGACAAGGCCCGTTATGAAAGAGAAATGAAAACCTACATCCCTCCTAAAGGGGAAACAAAAAAGAAGTTCAAGGATCCCAATGCACCCAAGAGGCCTCCGTAAGTATCTGACTTTATTTTCAAGACTTTTTTTTTTTCATAGTAGAGTCAGGAATTTCGTGTGCAAACTCCCTGAGTTTAGAGTGTACTATTTCTTAACTGATAACTCTTGAATTTGTTATATATAAGTATTATATATATATAAAGTTGATGTATTGGAGTGTTAAACTCTGAGCATACGTTAATTGTTAAGTTGTGATATTTACACCCTGCCCAACTCATAGTGGCAGGTTTTATATAGCAAAACAAGACATATTGCACATGTTGCTTATTTTTGTGATTTGTTAGTGTACATCAATAAATTTTGTTTTTTAGTTCGGCCTTCTTCTTGTTCTGTTCCGAGTATCGCCCTAAAATCAAAGGAGAACATCCTGGCCTGTCTATTGGTGATGTTGCAAAAAAACTGGGAGAGATGTGGAACAACACTGCTGCAGATGACAAGCAGCCTTATGAAAAGAAGGCTGCGAAGCTGAAGGAAAAATATGAAAAGGTATGAAGTGTGTGGGTTTCCTTGATAGAATGCTGAGATGTTGGGTGACAGTAAAGTTTGAGAAATGGTAGTTTTCGTATGACAGGTATATTGACATCAGATTGTTTGATAAAAGATGGGAGGACCAGATAGTTTATTTTATGTAATTCCATGTGGAGGAAACTCCAGGTATTTAAGCTGATTTTGTTTCATTCCTTGGTATCTCAAATTTGTGAAAGTTTCTGTAGCTGCTTTTGAGTCAAAAATGTTGTATTTTGAGATGTCAAGTGTACAGTACAAAAATAGGCTACAAAATGTATTGCTCTATTTTTTCATAAACATTTATTGATGTATTCATTTCCCTCAGGTAGTCCCAAAAACAGTACTAACAAAATTTGTCCAAACTTGATAGTTAAAACACATGCTTTAAATTGAGATATTAAATACTTTGTTCCTTTAGTCATTTCTTCTGAGAAATAACCTTTTCTAAAAGTTTCTTAATTGTAGGCTAAACTGGCAAATTGGCTTTTTTTTTTTTTTTTAAGCAAGATAGATTTCTACTGTGTGTTAGGGTCTGGCAGCATGAACCTGTAGAGTGCTTTTTTTGCATTCAGAAGGTGGCAGTGTCTACCCTTTAATCAAAGTCTCCACATTCTAGCTTTAATAAAGCAAGAGTTAGGAAGTGGTACATAATTGCACCTCGGTGAGGCATAGCATTGCACGTATTAGACCATAGTTTTGTAGCTGCCATGTAGTATTTTTATGTATATTTTTCCAAGTTGTGTTTGTGAAGATGAAATGGTTGCAGTTTAAGTGTACCAGGGATTGAGGTTTTTCATAAAGTCTTGTGTTCAATTTCTCCTTTTACTTAACAGTTTTTCCTTCCTATTGTTTTCTCCCTTTTCTTTGGAAGGATATTGCTGCCTACCGAGCTAAAGGAAAGCCTGATGCAGCAAAAAAAGGAGTTGTGAAGGCTGAAAAGAGCAAGAAGAAGAAGGAAGAGGAGGAAGATGAGGAAGATGAAGAGGACGAAGAAGAGGAGGAAGATGAAGAGGATGAGGATGAAGATGAAGAGGATGATGATGAATAAGTTGGTTCTAGCGCAGTTTTTTTTCTTGTCTATAAAGCATTTAACCCCCCTGTACACAACTCACTCCTTTTAAAGAAAAAAAAAATTGAAATGTAAGGCTGTGTAAGATTTGTTTTTAAACTGTACAGTGTCTTTTTTTGTATAGTTAACACACTACCGAATGTGTCTTTAGATAGCCCTGTCCTGGTGGTATTTTCAATAGCCACTAACCTTGCCTGGTACAGTATGGGGGTTGTAAATTGGCATGGAAATTTAAAGCAGGTTCTTGTTGGTGCACAGCACAAATTAGTTATATATGGGGACGGTAGTTTTTTCATCTTCAGTTGTCTGACGCAGCTTATACGAAATAATTGTTCTGTTAACTGAATACCACTCTGTAATTGCAAAAAAAAAGTTGCAGCTGTTTTGTTGACATTCTGAATGCTTCTAAGTAAATACAATTTTTTTTATTAGTATTGTTGTCCTTTTCATAGGTCTGGAATTTTTCTTCTTAAGGGGAAACTAGTCTTGCTTTTGCCCATTTTGGATCACCTGAATTACTGCAGTATGTATCTCTTCATGGAGTTAGCTGACAAACTTGTTTCCACACCCTAAAAATCGTAATGGGGGTAATAAAAGTTAAATTGACATTTTCACCATAACTGAAACTAATATCTCTCAAGTTTTACATTGGTCCCACTTAGATTTTACAAAGTGAATAATCAGTTCTATTCACAGCATGGGATTATTAGAATTAAGCAATTTGAAAGTCTGTCCTTGAAGGACTAGTAGAAAACTATAATCTTTACAGGAGGACTCTGTTCTTTAACTCCCATTACCATGTAATGGTAGTTACATTTAGCAGTACCCACATGAACAAAGACCTGAGAGTGTACACCCAAAAGCGTGAGCTTAAAATGCAAGACTTGGGGTTTTTTTTGTTGTTGACATTAGTCCAAGGGAAAGTGGTGGCTATGCATGCCCTTTCCCTTTTATCTGCCCAGGAAACTTTGAGACTCCGTTAGAAGTACTTTAATTAATTGGACCAGTTTTTAAATTATGCCACATTTAAAAATAGGGTAAATTTCCCTATATTGTGGTTTTCCCCTTTATAAATGAAAGACAAACTTTGCATTGTAGTGCAAGTTATCCAGTTTGAGTTTTTTCTTTTCCCAGACTTAGCCATTCAAGTCATGTTTATCTGCTTAGCAGTTTAGGGAACAATTTGGCAATTTCATGGGTTTTTTTTTGAGATAATCGTTTTCTTAAAGTGCCAGTGTTTTAAAATAGCCTTCTTGTCATTTTACCCGCTTTTGTGATGGAGTGCTGTTTTGTTATATAATTTGGATTCTTTCCATTTGCATTTGTTAATGTAATTTCAGGAGGAATACTGAACATGAGTCCTGGATGATACTAATAAACTAATAATTGCAGAGGTTTTAAATACTAGTTAAATGGCTTTCACTTGAGAATTTTAAGATTTTGTTGCTTCCAATAATACTTCCTGGCAATGCTTAAATAAGTATTTAGGGCTGGCAAAGTTTTGCCCTTTTAAAATATGCTTATAAATAGGTAGGTTAATGGATTTGTCAAACATTCCAGGTACTCTCAGGATGTTAGATGTGGAAAAACTAAATTTGAGAAAATTTGCAAGAAACATAAGTCTAAAATTTAGTGGGTAATTAAGATTCAAAGGTCTTATCAGTTTTATAATTCAAAGGAAAAACTCAGCAGGCCACAATTGTTACAAAAATTTTAGTCTTAGAGAATAAATGAATTAATCTGATTTAGATGGAAATTCTCCTTTGGCTAGAGACTAAAACGTGGATTTCTGATCCATTGATAAATGAATAGTGAGTGCCTGTAGGAAACTTATTTGAAATCTAGTAGGTTTGTTGGGACAACTGCTCTTTTATGCTAATGGTTTGGACTTTAGATCTAGACTAGAAAACAAGGACATAAAACCATCAATCTGAAAACAGTTCTTTCAGTGTCCAAACAACCCCCTGAGATATGGATGGGTTTACAGTGAAAAACCATGTGAGTAAACGTGAGAAAACAATCTCCTAACTTGCTAGTGAAGGCTGAGTATTTGGGTAACAATTCTGATCTTACAAGAAACTAATTCATCATACAGAATTGTATTACTTTGTGTACTACATGCAAGTTTTAAATGACAAAAGAGAAAAGTACCCTTTTAACAGTCAATCCACAGATCCTCACCACCTAACTTGAAAACAAGACAGCAAATTTGTGAATTAAAAATAGGGCTACTATCTAGATCAAGGAGGTCACTTAGTCTAGGAGAAAAGCATGCAACCTTTCCTTACAGGGCCTGTGATAGAGACACTTTGCGTATGATAGCGTAGTTTTACTTCAGCTTTACGTGCGTGTGACCCATTGGCCAGCATTTGGCTGTCTTAGTAAGGAACTGTGAAGAGTCAGTATTTTTCATTTATATTTTGTGATATTTTTCATATGACCCTAGGAATACTTTATAATAGTAAAAAGCCAGAAAATTTGGGTATCCAAAAAAAGATACAAGATGGTTCATTTTCTTTTACCTTTTTAAGAGTTTCACAGATTTTCCTGCCTGGACTAGCTTTGAACCATGATCCTCAGATCTCAGCCTCCTGAGTAACTTGGCAGACAGCCACCAGTGCCTGGCTAACCCAAGAAATTCTTTTTTAGTCATGGGGTTTGAACTCTGGGCCTACAGTCCCGGAGTTCTTCAGCTCAATGCTAGCACTCTATCACTTGAGCCGCAGTGCTACTTTCTCTTTTCCTATCTTCTAGCAAAGCACTTTCAGAACTTGGAAAATTCCCTAGGACTCAGCTAAGTTCTCAGGAATAAGGCAAAATGTTAGCTCTGTTGTAGGAATGGCACTATTTCCTAAAACAGTAACAAATGCAAACCTCACAGCACAACTTAGTAGCCACACATTTCTAGTACATCAATTTAAAACAAACCATACCTGCCAAGAGGAAATATAATCACTTGGGCCTTTACAAATGTCCATTGGTTTGAACTCATTTAAATAGCTGGATTTATTGGGCAGCCATTGAAGAGGAGAAATTAATAACAGATCTGCAATCCCATGAAAATAAACCTGAGGAATGGTTGGGCTAACGTGTGTGGAGACAAATGCAGTAAGGGAAAATGATGACAGGCCACGGTGTAAGTACAGTAGAGGGTATGCTGGTTCATGAAGCCCTGCGTTTGATCTCTAATACTCAAAGGAGAAGGGGGAAAGAACAGGCTTTTCGGTGATGGCTCATGCTTGGAATCCTAACCTCTCAGGAGGCTGAACTCAGGATCCTGGTTCAAAGCCAATTGGGCCAAAAAGTTCATGAGAATCATATTTCCAAGTAACCAGCAAAAGGCCAGAAGTAGAGATATGGCTTCAGTGGTAGAGCACCAGCCTTAAAAAGCTAAGAAAGGCTGGAGAGGTGGCTCAGTGGTAGGTAGAGTGCTTGCCTTGCATGCATGAGGCCCTGGGTTCCATTCCTGAGCACCACATAAACAGAAAAAGCCAAAGTGGCACTGTGGCTCAATAGGTAGAGTGCTACCCTTGAGCTGAAGAGCTGAGGGACAGCGCCCAGGCCTAGAGCTCAAGCCCCACAACTGACCAAAAAAATCTAAGGGAGAGAGTTTACACACTGAGTTCAACGCCCCCCCCCCCAGTATCAGCAAACACATATGCACAAATATGAAAATACAGAAAGGAAAATCATGGAAAGGGGAGTTAGATCCTTAATTATTTCTTTGGCTGTATAATTAAGTGTGCCTAGTGTTCCATAGCACAATTTCATTCCCTTACATATACCAGTTCAAGCTCTTCTATGATTTTGTCATTTCTAATAATACTGAAGTGAACAGCTGTACAATTCTCAGGTATAGATACCTAGAAGTGGAATTGCTGGGTCAAAACACATTGAACATTTTGGCAAATACTGATAAGTTGCTCCTCAAAAAATGATAATGCTGAAATATTTAAACAATGACAATGCCACATCTCTAGTCCGGCATTATGCTAGTTAACTGGAGATACAGTCTCAGACTTTCCTGCCAGCGTTGGTTTTGAACGATGATCCTTATGTCTCAGCTTTCTGAGTAGCTAGGATTACGGGAGCAACTGGCACCCAGTCTGAATCAGACTTTTGTTACTGGGAAGGAAAATGACAGGGAGGATGACTGATCAAGATGCATTGTATACATAAATAGACCTGTAAAAATGACACACCCTTGTACAACTAGTTGTGTGTGTGTGTGTCTTGAACTCTGGGCCTGGGTGCTTTCCCTGAACTTTTTGGCTCAAGGATAGTACTGTAGCAATTGAGTCACCTCAGATCTACTTCAGGCTTTTTGGTGGTTAACTGGAGATGAATTTCATGGGCTTTCTTGCCTGGGCCAGCTTCAAACCATGATTCTTAGTAGTTAGGATTACAGGCATGAGCTGCTTGTACCTGGCTCAATGATGACTTTTTTTTTTTTTTAAGGGGGGGGGGGATTGGTCGTGGGAGCCAAACTCTGGGCCTGAGCACCATCCCTCAGCTCTTCAGTGCCCTACCACTTAAGCTACAGCAGCTTTTTTCTACTTATGTGGTACTGAGGAATCAAACCCAGGGCCTCATGCATGTGAGGCAAGCACTCTACCACTGAGCCACCTTCCCAGCCCTGATGATGATTTTTTTTTAACTACTTATTTTTTTTAGCACCATGAAAAAAAAAATTCATTTAAAAGATCAGCCAGGTTAATTTCCAATTAACCACAAAAATCAGAAAGTGGAGCTGTGGCTCAAGTGGTAAAGTGCTAGCCTTGAACAAAAAAGCTCAGAGACAGGGCCCAGATTTCAAGCCCCAGGACAAAAGAGAGAGAGATAACCAAAAAACGAATAAACAACAAAAGCAAAAATGAACAGAATTATAGTAGTGGTAGGACAATTTTTAGGAAATAGGAGATTCATTATTTGGAAAGGTGGAGGAGATCCTGAGACTTGGTCTCAACTGGAATGAAGCTCATCATGGCTTCACTTCCTTGTTGGGGATGGTACTTTAGGGTAAAAAGGACAGACTCCAAATGTGTTTACAAATATAATTGTATTTATAGGTGTAAATAGAAATTAAGTTTAGTTCCTTAGAGCTACATAGAATTGCTAAATTAGAAGTTTGCCAAATTTTGGTTATTGGATTTCATTAGAGATCATCTTATAAAATGTTCTAAACTGGGCACTGGTGGCTCACACCTGTAATCCTACCTACTTAGGAGGCTGAGAGCTGAGGATCGTGGTTCAAAGCTAGCCCAGGCAGGAATGTCTGTCAGACTCTTATCTCCAATAAACCATCACAAAACTGGAAGTGGCATTGTGGCTCAAGTGGTAGAGTGCTAGCCTTGAGCTGAAGAGCTGAGGGACAGTGCCCAGGCTCAGAGTTCAAGCCCCATGACTGACAAAAAAAAAGTTCTAAACGTAACCAGATACAAAAATTCCTAAAATGATGGCTGCAAATGTCTTTTATCTCTAGCACTCAGGAGTAAGGAATGACCTTGAGTTTGAGGTTAGCCTAGAGTACATAGTGAGATTGGGTCAAACAAAACAAAACACCCAGCCTAGTGCTGGTGGCTCATACCGGTAATCCTAGCTACTCAGAAGGCTGAGA